CGAAAGAACGAAGAGGCCATAAATACCTCAGCGCGTTCAGCCAATTAAAACAAATCATTTTAATGCACAACCTTTTTAATTAATGCCCGTGCTCGCTCGCTCCCATCCGCTTCCCTCCTCCTCCTCCTCCTCCTACTCCTTTTACTCAGCGCGTACTACACGATCGGCTTCACTGGCTCTGCAATTCCCATCTCGAAGCGATCGGGTCCGATATTAACTTATACGTCACTCTGTATATCGCATACTTTCTCCCTCTCTCTCTCTTTCTCTCTCTTTCTCTTTCTGTTCGTGTACATAACCGATTATCCTTAACCCCTAAGCGCGGACGTCCGATGATGACGCCACAGCATCACCGGGTTCGCTGAGCTACCACCATTCTCAATGATGGCTCCTTGCAAGTCCCTAACCAGACTCGATTTTAATTATACGAATTTTCGCGACTTGATTGTACATTCCACCCAACCACCACCACCACCACCACCACCACCACCCTAACTTTACTCTTCTCTCTTTTTATTTCTTCTTGTTTTCTTTCTACTTCTTCTTCTTCTGCTTTCTCTTTATTCTTTCTTCTACAACAACATCGTCGACGAGATTTATGCCCTCCAGACGGCAACTGGCAGATAAAGATAGGATACCGTGGTATCGATATCCGACTGGATCCGACTTCGTTAGGATACAAATTGAGATACGGCCGCGATCACAGGATACCCACTCGTACCACCTAACGTTATACTTTGATCAAAGGCAACCTTAAAAGCTATCGGATTTCTACTAAACTATCCTAAATTGTGTTCGCGTGTCTAATCTGTTTGAGTATTGGTTTTACTTAACTGACTAAGTACACAATGTTGCAAAATTGTGATTAGAATTAATTGGGGAAAAAATGGAAGCTTCGCAAAACTTCAATATTTTGGATCTCGCACTGGATGGCACTTGAGTCATCGTTTTATCGACGGCTCGTTTTAACGACGATCGCGCCAGAGTTCAGAGATTAGACTTTTAAATGGCCCCCGCTCAGAGCCGGTACGTATTTCACGAGATGACGGTAGACGTCGCGTTAAATCATCCGGAGTGACCGCATCCGCTTGCCCAATCGGCCCCAAGTCTCTCCTTAACGGCCTCTTGTCACGCCTGCGACATTCCACCGAAACACACCGGCCCTCTTCCTTTCCTCAAACCTTCTCCTCCTCCTCTTCCTCCTCCTCCTCGTCATCATCTTATTTTCTTCATCTTTTCGAAAGCCACCCTCTCCGTTCTCTCCTCGTCTCTATCCACATCTACAAACTTTGCCTTTCTACTCAACGTCACAACGTCTTTTCAAAATCTACAAATCAACTAACACTTTCGTTTCTCAGACTAATATTGTTCTATCGGAATTCAGAAAGCCACTATTGGATAGAGGTTTGGTACAACCTACTATAGATAGAGAGAATAAAATAAAAATGAAATAAATATCTGACCACCTTCTACGTGTTCGTTTGAGAACCAAACCGTTGAGCAACAACAACACAAGTTGTCGTAATTCACCGCTCCTTTCTTTCACCTTCGTCAAATCGATTCGATCGACGTTCCTCAGATCGATGTTTCTTCGAAAAGATCCTCCAATTGATTCGAGTTAATGTCCGAAAGTCCGATATTTTTCTACCTTTTTCTTTTTACGAATGTAAATGTCACGACACTTTTGAATAAATCTAAGTAATTAATATTTGAAAGATTTCTCAAAGTGTCTTGACTAGTTTTTTGAAGGATTTTTTCAGTGAAAACTTTTTTTAGAATCGGGTGAAACGAAAATGAAACACCAATGTTTCATTGAAAAGAGACATCTGTAGGATTTAGTCTGCAAGAATGAGATGAAAAACAGTATGCATTTGTTTCTTATTATCTCGTTTTCTTCTTTGTGCGATGCTTCGTAGCATCGTAGCATCCCCACTCTTGGACATGTGTGTGCTTGCGTGCGCTTTCATATGTTTTGCCAATCAATTAGTTTTTTGAATGGAAACTAGATGGCGAATACAATTTGAAGCACCAGTTAAATGATCGCAAATTAGAATTTGGCATTTAATACAGTGGTACCTTTGATTAAGTTCCTGAAAACCAAACGAAATGAAAAAATATACAACAGTTGAAAAATGATAATACATGTAGTTAAATTTATTAGCATGAAAATGTGTAAGGAAAGTCTATCTCGGGTCTTACTGCGCGTATATTATTATTCAACAGGTAACCAAATACGAATGGCAATAGGTAGAAGAGAGGTCTCAGTAATGCGCTCGCGCGTGCACTCGCACAAGGATTTCATGCGTGAGAAAGCGCACCTGCATGTAGAGAAGATGGCACAGGTATTAATATTACTTTTTATCGCGAATTCCAATCCCCAGGAAAAGTCTTGTCTACTGGACACAGTGAATGTGATAATTCAGATGCAATTACCAACCGTCGTGTATGAAAAAATATGTTGTATAGAAAAAGATAGAAATGAAAAGCTTCGAACGGATTTTCCGATTACACTATAAATATCAACAATCTTGAAAGGAAGTTCCACTCATCGTTTATGTCATTTACAAGCGCATTCGTGGCAACAAATCCAATGCACCTTTGATTTTCAAGGACGGAATTTATATTTTCCACGAATGGACATGAGCTCTTTCACGTGGACGTATCTTAAGTAATATTTACGTATCTACCATTTACTTGTATGTAATTTTTAATAATCATCTAGGAGAATTCAAACTCGATGGATCGTTGATGATATACCAACGTTTTAAAACGAATAATCATCATTTACATATTCCACGATGCTTTTTCAACTATATCTGAAAGTTTGATGTTAACGATAAGATCGAGAACACATCTCTTATCTTAGATTACATGTAGAAGAAGGGTTTATCGTATACAGATGGTTAGATATAATTTTAAGATCTTATATCGATACTTCAGGTTTACCTGTTCTCTCATCAAACGTTCCGTAAATCGTAAAGAAGAAATCAATGTACAGAGTAACCAACAGAATCGAAATATTAATTCCTAATAGGAAAGAAATGAAATACCGATTCTATGATTCATTTCCGGATTACTCAGGAAGAATTCTACGAAAGGTTGCATCAAACTCGTCTCTGAACTTTATCGTAATCTTCATTGTCGGCACGATCCTAGTGGATTTTTTAGGATCGTTGAGGATCGCACGCAATGCACCCTCGTGAAAGTTGCACACGTAGGATACTTGGGAAAGATGCTTACATCGAACACGCAGGTTCGATTTAAAGGATTCGTGAAACACGCGTACTCAAGTCTTGCTACCTGGATCTTTTTCTTTTCCTTTCTCTTTCTGGCAGGTGCAAGGCATAGTCTAACGTTGACCAGGTTCGTGCGAGGGCGTGTATACGCTGACATTGTAAAACTTGGCGTTACACTTGCGTAGCCAATTGGGTAGGCCGGTTCTCCCTCTAGGACGGCCCAGATCTCACGTAGCTCTTTCTCTTCTTCTTTCTCTCTCGCACTTATTGCCACTCACCGCTTCCCAGTATCCTCTAACGTCCTTCTTCCCCTACCTTTTTGCTCGAATCTCTCTTTCTCTCTCTCTCTCTCTCTCTCTCTCTCTCTTTTTCTATTTCTTCTTTTTCTGTTTCTCTTTCATTCACTCTCGATCGGTCTCTCCGAGTAAACTCCCCAACATATCGGCTAGTTACCATCGCGAAAAATCAGCGTCCTTCGTCCTCCTGTCCTGTCCCCAAGCAGCTTTCCAACAGCAACAGCAACAGCAGCAGCAGCAGCACCACCACCACCAATAGCAAACTCAAGAACGACATCGAGATCTTGCGGCCGGCAACCGGAGATACGAGTACCGCCGATCCTGGATACTTGTGTTCGAAAATTTGCTGCCAATTTCGATAACATCGACGAGGGAAACGGTCGTTCTCGACTCTACTTCGTTCGATGAACGATCTACCTTTGTACGACATTGTTTAAAAGTAGTAATCCAACGATACGTAGATATTCGTCGATGTGTACTTAGTAATTTAACTAAATTATATAATCAATTTCCCGTTATGTGTTTTATATTTGAAACGATAATATAGATGAAATCTAAATCTTATCTTAGAAAATATGAGGAAGAAAATATCTCTCTCGTGGGAAGGGGGAGAGGAGGAGATGAGGAGGGGGGGGGGGGAATAATAAAATGAAGAAAAAATATTTCTATCTCATTAGTTTTTATTATACGAGATTATAAATAGTCGATCTTTCCAGATTCTGTTCCTCCCTTGTTTTATTTTTATATCATACTTAAAAAGAAACTTTAATCCTCTGATAAAACTCTAATAGGCAACAAATATATATGGCTTACCTATATTTAAAAATTCCACTTTACTTCGAGCAGATGATTTAATTAACCTCATAGCCGTAAAAGTCAGTGCTCTTACTGTATCCTAATTAAGGTGTCATAAATCCTCACTTGCTTCCTCTTCTAAAACGATGAGAATTCCGTGAGGTAAAGCGGGAGGAGATCCGGTCTCGATACGTCATTTTGACTTACTTACACCATCTTCAGAGGAAAAATCAATGAACGTAAAAACAAATTTGAAAAAGAAGAGATGGGTGTGGATGGGAAAGACGACTATTTTTTTAGTTTGTTTCTTAACGTTGGCAGGTTGATATACATAGGATGCAACACAGCTGGGATCGGATCGTAAGGCGTGCAAACGGGGCCCGATACTCGCACGCGTACCAAGCATTCGTAGGCCCATTGTCCTGTCTTATTACGCGTCGAACTTAACGAAAGCGCGCGTGCCTATTTAACCAGCAAAATCATTATTCTCAACGCCATTTAACCATGCTCAAATGGTATTCCAAAAATTGTACTCGCACCCGTGAAATACTTTTCGAATACACTTGGCATACCTGGCTCTACGATCTTGTTTACCCATAACTTTTTGTTTAAACTGCAACATGCACTATCTGCCACATATGTCAATAAATTTTGTTTAATCCGTTTGTTTCAGGCACGCATTGAGACAACATATGCTTCGACATGCCGGTAAAAAGTACAAGTGTGGACTTCCAGGTTGTCCTACTGTACTCCGTACAGCTTCCGAGTTGAAGTATCATCGTTCATTGGTCCACGACGATGCATCTACCAATAGAAGATATCCCTGCGTGCATTGTTCTTACTCAGCCAAAACTAAGACCCAACTACGCAGGTATCCTATTGTTAAATATACGATTACAAATTTACGACTCGTTCGGGTAATAGAACAATAATTTAATATGATCAGTTATTATTATTATTATTATTAATTATAAAGATCGATAAACTATATGCTTCCGCGTGGGTGGATGGGTGGTGGATTTTACGATTCATTCCTCTTACGATTCTTTGACTAGTTGAAATAATAAAAGAGAGAAAGAGAGAGAGAGAGAGAGAATATTGGCTGTATCATCAGCATCCTTCCAACTAATATTATTGACATTAATTTTAATCAAGATTTCTGACCCGAGTTCGATGCATTCCTACAGCATTAATCATGTTAGCAAGTCGCGTATATATAATTGATGTCTTCGAGGAAGCCGGATCGAATTAATTGCGAGGATGCAACGGACGTGTCAGCACGTATACGAGATCGACACGGGTCGCATATATTTATAAAAAAAAAAAAAAAAACTAATAAAAACAAATCAATTTTCTTTGGGAATCAATATACTTATGGGGAGGATCATACGTTTGATAGTTGAATATCTTTGCAAGTATAAACGCAAGTTCCTTGTCCAATAACTCGATCTCGATCTAAATCGACTAGAACACGTTATGGTGGATGATCGAGACTAATATTGCTATTAATCGGCAAGATAGTATCGAACGAATAGCATTTAATTATTGATCCCGATCGATCGAAGAAAATGGAAGTAATTTGATACAACCGATCGATGATTCATCATAACGACGTAACACTTAATGGAATTCGCATGAATTTGTTTGAAGAGAAACGATTCGATTTTATTTTTTTTTCTTCATTTTTTTCTTCAGGGTCTCGATTAAGTCATAATGTTAGCTGAATTGCAATTTGCCAAACGATCAACTCAAGCCCGGTTTAAATTAAGCCTTATTAAGGGTATTGTGTCGTAGAATAGCAAACCGATATGTACTAATAAATTTCATCTCATTTCCTACGACAGCAAAGTTGCACTCGCAAGCTTTGGAAGAAAAGAAGAAGTATCGCGAGCGTCAAAAGGGAACAAATAAAAAAGGGTGGAGGAGGATGGGTGGGGGCGAGCAAGCGGAAGTTGCGTGCAGGAGCCGACTAAGTGCGGGCAACCCGTTATGATCGGGCACACACGGTGGATACTCGATGTGATACTCGACGCGATATTTCATCGCGAATTGAGTACTTACTACGTGAGTCGAACTCAACGCAGGCCGCAGAGTGTCGCGAATCTTTTCCTTCTCTCTTTCTCTCTTTCTCTCTTTCTCTCTATCCGTCTATCTACCTCAGTCTTGTACCGCGGAACGGAGTAAATCACACGGGATTTTAATTAAACGTGTCATGCATTTCGAAGCTGATATACGCGTAGCCACCACGGCCAATGGCTCCCTCGTAATATCGCGCACGCATATCGCATCTTTCATAATCACCGATCCCGCTGTGACGATGAACTTCCCGAGAGCCGCGCCTCGGCCTGATCGTACGTCTTCCGCCATTTCGAATATATCAGCCGATATAGCTATACCTTTTTTTTCTTCTCTTTTTCCTCTCCTCGAGCCCCTCATTTTAACTCACTTTATCGTCGTCTTCGTCTTCGAAGCAAACCACGCGCGCCCACGCTCCTCGACTATTTTCCATCTTATTACTATTATTATTATTATTATTATGTACGTAAGGCGCTTTTATTTGTTCTCGTTCCAGGCATCAGGTCAGGCACGAAGAGTCAACGAGCGTGGAGAAACTTGGATATCATTCCTGTCCTTACTCCGGTTGCACTTTTAGAACCAGACTTAGTTTTCATCTACGCCGACACGTGCGGTTGCACACGGGAACCAAACCGTACAAGTGTCGTTATTGTACTTACGCCTGCAATAATCTGGTAAGTTTCTTAGACATTTTCAAATCTTCAATAATAAAAGTAAATTACAAATGAAACATTCGTACTAGAGATAAATCAGTTGAGCCCAAAGTTTCGCATCGAACATAAGTGTCTGGACTTCTTATGTTAAACCGAAAATGTTCGAAATCGGTCAACAGATTCAATTTTTGTATCGGTAGGATCGGAAAGGGATAGTCGTGGCGTAAATTAAGGAAAGTACACGTTAACGTTAGGACCGCGTCGCGTTCTGTGCTCGTACAGCCACCGCTGCCACCACCGCTGCCACCACCGCGGCCGCGGTTGCGATAAGATAACGAGTTAATTGTGCTCACTGGATGCCCACACACGCACGGAAGAAGAGGAGTCCGGTCAGGCTCTTTCCTCTCTCTCTCTCATACCATGCTGTTGGCCGGTATGCTAATGTCCTTTGAAGCTTTAGTTGGGATGCGACTCGAATACGAGGGCTCCGTGTCTCTTTGATAGCGACATAAACTCATTCCAGTGGCTCTCATTTCGATGTACGTTTAAACAACATCTAGGAGAAGTTACTTCAGAATTTACTTACTTGGCTACCACGGGTTATGTTCAAATCGTTCGATGTTATGTCTTTTACTCACTCGTATACTATATATATATGTAGTGTTGTTAATTTAATTAAATATATATATATATATATATATATATATATATATATATATATATATAGGTTGATTCACGAATCGTAATCAGTAAGATATTATATTTTATTTGGAGTATTCCGTAAGTACGATAACATTCGTGAATCAGCCTGTAAACTTATCTCATATGTATAGGATACATGAAAATACTTACTTGTATTTGTAAACTATCCTACTAATAGAACCGAGCTTCGGACGCGCATAAAATCCGCAGATGCATATCGGTGGCTCGAGAAACAATGTAATAAATAATAAAAGCCCGTCGCCATTCTACTCTATCGGGATCTCTCGTTCATTCTCTCTCTCTCATGGAGAGAATGTTTTACCGATTAAGATAATGGAATTACTCCGATCATTGCGCGCTTTAGCCGCGGATAGATCGATCTACCTTGGTATACCTCCTCCTAGCCGACTACTGCAACCGTGCACACCTTATCTCGAACTAAGCGAGAGACGATCTATGTTTCTTAAACGCTTGACTTTGATGCTATCGACTTGTACGCCCTGCTACCGGTCGTTAATTTTCAACAACAACAAAAAAATACATTCACAAAAATCATTTAAAAAGGAGCGGGAAAAATAGGTACGAATCGTGAGCATAAAATCGGCTAATGTTCCTTGCAGAGAATTTCTTAGCTTTCCTGCCAGACAGTTTATTGTCCAATCCTTTCCTGTATTTAATTATTTCTAATTTACAATGGGAACCTTATTGTTTATTCTGTCGTAGAATTTGATGAAAAGTATTTTTGTTTTTTTTTTAAATCGTTTTAAGAATACGATTCGATCATCATCGCGGGTTGATTTAATTAATAAAATGCGGCACGGCAAAGGGTACCGCTCAGAAAGAGATGCGTAGAAGTCATCGAAACTATTCGCGATAATTCACGTAGATTACGAGAACGTTTACGTCAAATGAAAAAGGATGATTATCGGTAGGAGGAGGAGGAGGAGGAGGAGGAGGAGGAAGAAATCTTTCGGTAGAAGACGTTGAAAGGAACTGACAACGAGAAATAAGCTACGGCGGTCTCTGTAATTTTACTGTTGAAACTCGTAAAACGGGATAGCGCGTGGAACATGAGCCACCTATGAACAACATCTGTTCATTTCCATATATCTATTAGGATCTCTTATTCATCTCTTATTATCTTTGATAGATAAGAGATGGAAAATAGACAAGTAGGGTCCTATGGGGAGTTGCAGTGTGAACGGGGCTTTAATGCGGCAACGTCACGGAGCACTGGTCAAGCCGCGGAAAGATTTACTTATGGGAAATTAAATTTGATGTTGCCGTTGCCATCAACGGCTCGTATAAGCCCGCCTGGTAGGAAGATGTTTACGACTACGGTCGGCTACTTAGGCCGAGAGGGTAAAGCGCCTTTAAATGCGCCAACAACATGGCCAATGGCATGGCCAACGAACGCGTCCGGTTTTGCATCGCGGCAAACCCTGAATCGGTTCTTCTCCATAAGGTATTCTCAGGTAGAACGGAAGGACAATATTTTGAAGATCTTTCTTTTCTTATTTTCATGATTTGTCAAAGTTGTTAGAAGAGTTCAATTAAACGAACTCTGATGACTGCTTTTTAATTTAAAAAAGTTAGTTGGTTATTGTTGGTTCCTTTATCATTTTGTTTGATTACTTGATAGAACGATTCCAACTTCTTACAAGGATATCAAAGTTATGTCCTTTATCGTGTAATAAGACTTAACGCGAGTTCGTATCTTTTAACGTGTAATGCAAATTTGATAAGAACCACTAAACAAATATATATTATTATACTCTTGTACAATCTCTTAGATGATAATAACAGTAGGTTATAAGAGCTTGTCACGGTCTAACAAATTTCAAATATATCGATGCTATTTCGTACGGAAGACAAAACACATTGGCGTGGGCAAAGTAGTTCACGATTATGGTTTGGTAAGCTGATGTAAATCAGACACCATGACCGAACACTCTTGACTGTCTTTTCGTCGTCACTTTCGTTCGAGCGAGACGCCTCGTAAGTTTAAGACTGGATCATTGTCCATTAAAGAGCTATGAAAAGCCCTTACAACGTGGCTCCTTGCATTTGCACGATTTATTTATGACTCTTTCTACAACGCTTGTAACCCAGACACTTCAACTATTTCTCTCTCTCTCTCTCTCTCTCTCTCTCTCTCTCTCTCTCACTGTCTTTTCTTCATACATTTATTACTTTGTTTTTTTTTTGTTACAGGAAAATCTTAGGAAACACATATTATCGAAGACTCTGCATCCAGGGAAAACGATCTACGAGTGTGAATTTTGTGTTACGAAAAATACTGAACAATTTTGCACGAACTTTGCCAAAGAATTGCGAGCTCATCTTTTGGACAATCACAGTGACAAGTTTCCAAATCCTGAAGACGCCAGAAATTATGTTCTTCATTTATTTGAGATCGTTCCTGATTTGGAACCGGCAGATGAGCCCCATTAAATATAGTTTTAGTTATAATTAAATACTCCTGAGATACAATTTCTTTGAATTTGTATGAATGAAAAGATTCGTATTTTTATTTTACTGAGTTTCAAATCAGCTCGTTTCTAAAAAAGTTTTACTTAAAAAATAAGTAAGCACGCACCGTTTGGAAAGAGTAGAAACATACGGAAGCCAGTAATAAATCGCGATGAGCCGTTACCGCAAGCGATCGTATAAATTGAGCCGATCCGAACGAGGGAAAGTTCAAACACAAGGCGTTCAATCGTCGAACGTTCGTAAATTAGACGATCATCTTCAACAAGCGGCGTTCTCTTGAAACGGATCAGCTCGATGAAAATGTGCTTCGACGAACGTGAATATACATACCTATCGGCAACTGGTATCACGAGTGGGTTCGTATCGTTTTATTTACATCGAACAACTCGATATATCTGTACACACACGCATACAATACGTAGAAGAGTGAAAAGAAAGTTTCTCAGTTGATTTCTCGCTTCTTCTGCGTGACTTTTTCTTTCATGTTTTCTATACACATTTTTGGGCATCGTTCATCTTCAAATATGCTGTCAAAAAGAAATATTCCGATGTAAAGATGAACAAAAAAGTTGAACAAAACTACTCAACCTTTTTATTTTACGAGTTGAACACATCTGTTTATTACAGTTCATAAAAATGTTGGTAATTTGGATCGGATTTAGGATAAATTATGGGTGTGAAATAATTGTAAATGAAATAAAGTTTCCTCAAGGCGTTAGAAGTTGAACGCATAGCAAATGCTAGTTTCTTAGCATCTGTTGTAGTTGTCGTTTACTGAAGACTCGCGGTAGGACTGTACTACTACAGCCAGGAAGTAGTTAAGGTGATCTACGGTCACGTGGCACGGTATGTACTTTAGACGTGTATACGATCAAATCTTTATGCCCCGTGCACAACGTTAGAGAGAACGAGAGAGAGAGAGAGAGAGAGAGGATCGCAATATTATCAGAACCAACGACAAGAATTCTCTTTCTCTTTATTCCTGTCTTTACCTTTTTCTTCTTCTTCTTCTTTTTAACTTGACCCAGCCTACCGCGCGCGGATTTATATTTCCCGCCCTCGAAAAGAATTCACAATATCCGATATCGCGCCATCCGACTTATCTCTATCGCCATTGCGATTCCTTACGTTCGAGATACTTTTATTTTCATCTTTCTTTTTATTATCTTTCTCTCTCTCTCTCTCTCTCTCTCTCTCTTTCTCTCTGTGCTTCTACACGTTTTACTTGCCGGAAAACGGCAGTACACTCGCATCTTCTTTCGACACGCAACCGGCATTGCAACTTGTTAAGAGGTCGACCGATCGATTATCGCATCTCGTCTAAGTACGTATTTAATTTAGTTTCGTTATTACTTATGTATTTATTACATATTTGTTATTATGACCGATGCACTGTAATATTATAACAAGTTGGCTAAGTTAGTTTGAAAATTTCCCACGAAAAGAAGAACAGGAATGAAGAAAAAAAGAAAAAAAGAAAGAAGGAGAGATAAAAAGAGAAAGGTTGAGTGAAAGGATACCGGTCGTCGAAAAATTGGACGTGATTGAAAGTCGAGGATGGACCACCTCGTGGATCGTCTTACAAGACGCGTTTCCGTCTTCGAGGGCTCTGATTGTGAGAAATGCATCTCGCTGTCGTGCAAGATAGGTGTCGTAAAGTATGCAGCTCTCGAGTAGTAGTTCTCTCAGGACAAAAAGGATGAAAAGACACACACAGACCTACGGATGAAGATAGAAAGAGAGAGAGAGAGAGAGAGAGAGAGAGAGAGAGAGAGAAGGAACGACAAATAGATGGAAGAAAAGAGGAGGACGAACCTCGTCGGAGAAGAAGAAGAGGGCTGAGGGGGATACCACGAGTCCTGAGCGTGAAGGATAATTTATTGACTAATTAACGAGGATGTCCTTCATTACGGGTCGAGCAGCAGTCGTGGTCGCTTGCTCTCGCTCGGAACCGGCATTATTTGGCGCCCGAATATTTACGACCGCGTCCTCCTTCAGCCCGTGGACCTGGTCCTCCGCCCCGATACTCCTCTGTCGAGAGAATCAGAGAGAGAGAGAGAGAGAGAGAGAAAGAGAAGCGGACCCATAACGATGTGTCCCGATCTTACGGCCATTCGGGGACCTGGAATTTCCTTTCAAGATGGCGAAGAAGACCGCTGACCCTCCCCCTTGTAAACCAAAGCGGTCCTGAAACTCGCGAACGTTACTCTTTCAACAAAGAATCCCTCCTCCTCCTCATCCTCCTACCTCTCTCCAATTCCGGAGACAATTCGAAAGATATTTTAGATACTTGTGTGACACTTGGTTGCTTTGATTTTGCAAGTATAGAAACATTTTAATTTAATCGTTTATTTTTAATATTTTATATATATATATATATATATATATATATATATATATATATATATATATATATATA